AGATCCTACACCCGGATCTAGGTACCTTAGATAACTAGCAATAGATCATGGAAATTGTACGGCATAGACCGATATGCTTGAAGTGATGACTATGTTAGTGTGACACTTTGGTTTGTACTGGAGTTCCTTGAGTCAGTCAAGAATAACATTGGGCTGTCGCGTGGTGTCATAAGCGCTAATTGAACTTTAGAATCTTAATTGACCCAACTTGTTTATTAGAAGGTAGTGAGGTAACTGACTTTGGTGCAGTCCAGAGCTGGTTGATACTCGATGCTACACTCATTGAGATTGGACTCTCGGGATATTTCGGTGGCAAGTCAATTGCTCGGCTGAAATAAAACCTGCGAGAAAGATCGGTGATATGAGACTCCTAGAACCCGATTACTATTCTTAGTATAGGTTGAGCAAACTGAACTTTAAAAGGGTACTTACCTAATTCTCCTCTATATATCATTACCCTTTCAGACAAGGCATCCAAAAAGAAACCCTTGCAAGAAACCTCTCCAAAATATCAAAAAATTTCAAGAACTAGGGTACCTCGAAACCCTAGCGTGCATCCACTTTTACAATAAACCAGCCGTTCCATTCACTTCCAAAAGCTCTATAGGGTAAGAATGGATCCAACTTGGTAATCCAAACCACATGAAAACATCATTCCATGCATCTTCGGTCGTCCTATATTTCATAAATTTGTATCTTTGCTTTCATTGTGTTTTAACGTGTGCTAACTCTATTAATGTGTTTCTGAGATGTACCTATGCAGAATTAGACCATCGCGTGAGCCCCATGCTACCAGAATGGTGCATCACCATGTTTGCACCAATTCACTTTATTCTGGACATATCTCATTATGCAACGTGTTTTAGCCAAAAATAATACTTTTATTGAGATCGCAAGGCTTGATTTAGGGGGGTAGGGTCCATGAGAATCTCTAATATTTGGTGTTTTACAGGAACGAAAAAAGGAGTCACCGAGAAGACGATCAGAGCTAGGGCTCCGGAGCCTCTCCGGTCAGTGCCATAATGTTTCTTATATAATTATTTTGTTTCATTTGTATTATCGGATGTACAGCCACTCCAGTGGCAAGCGAGCGCGCATTAAGACATTATTACATCAGGGCGTAGGTTCGGTCCCTACCTTTTGGTGTTTTGAGGTTTTTTCACTTTTTTTCTTCTATATTCTACAGGTTCAACATATGTAACATGCTGATCTCATTCTTCTAACCTGAACATGCGCCTGGTGTAGTGGTGAAGCGTATGGTTGAAGAAGCTAAGGGCGTGGGTTCAACACCCACCCCTGGCATTTTTTTATATTTTATTTTTCTAACCCTCTTGTTTGAATTTTTTTCCCTTGTGCATTCTTTTCCCTTAATCCTATTTTCACCTAACCATAAAACCACACCCTTTTTTTATAAAACCTAAAAAATATTTTTTTGTAAACCCTAAAAATAATTAGGTTTTAGGTTTTTTATTATGAACCTTTTTTTAATTAAAATTAATTAGCATTTTAAGATTTATTTTAGGTCATCATCAAAAACCTTTTTTTCATAAAAAACATCAAAAAAATATTTCTTTTTTCCCTTATTTCTATTTTATTTTATTTCCATCGATAAAGTGTATAGGGTTCACAATTGTAATAGCGTAGTTTATTTTTCCACTTTTTTCATTATTATGTAACTGTTTTCCGGATTGTAATAGCTTAGGGTTTTTACTTTCCACTTTCTATTTTGTATCTGCCCCGAAGTGATATAATAGTTTAGGATTTACGTTTCCGCCTTTACTTTCCGCACTTTTACTGTTTTCCATATTTTCTACTACTTCTTAGTAATTAGGGTTGCATGGAAAGACTAAAACAAATTGTTAGAAAACCCTAAACTCAAAGATAAATAACTGAATACAAATCACTTGCACACTCGTACCTCTAGGGTAACCTCCCTTGTTGCCTTCGGAATGACGGTCATGTCCCTCGAACCTAAGGATGCCTTAACAAAGACCCTCGATCAAGTCATCATACAAAAAGATCATAATCCCTCGATGACCCTTTCGATGTTGCCTTTCAAAAATGATCTAGTCCCTCGAGTTGCCTACGAATAAAACAATGACAGTCCCTTACGAAAAATGCTAAAGTATTCTTACCAGTTGCTTTCAATGACCGTATGATGACCATCGCCTGTCCCTTCACATCCAATGATAGGGCTTTCTACTAACAAATGGTATGGATAGCACTATCTAAAGGATAAGGAAAGTACAAGAACGACCTTGCGTAGGTAGAACTCGTAATCGCTTGCTCACAAACTCTTCAAAACATAACATTTCACAAACACTTTCAAAAAATATTTTCAAAACACTTTGTACGCATTCTCGAGGATAGATACGAGAATAATTACAAAGTTTTGCCTTACATTGGCAAAATTTCAAAATATTTTCAAACACAACACACAAATCAATTTTCAAAAGTGAGCTAAGCGATTAAGAGCTCCTAAAGAACTACGGATGAAAAAGGTGCTAACACCTTTCCTTTTCATAACCTACCCCCCGAACTCAAAATTTATCGAGGTCTTTCCTATTCTTTTCACCTTTTCCTTATTGGATAAAAGAAAATTCGTTGGCGACTCTTACTATCCGCAACATTTGCAATAAAATGCAAAACCAAGTAAGTTCTCCCACCGTATTAAAGAACTGGTGAGTCTGCTGGGGACACTACTTAAAAAAGAGGGGTTACCTTAAAGTTTAGGATCACTTTACTTATTTTTACATGTTTGCTTTATTTATGTAACACGGTGGGAGAACTGACTTGGTTGCTTTGTGTTTGATCGCAAATGTTGCAGTTTAGCAAGAGTCACCACTGACTTTTCTTTTATCCAAAAGGAAAGGCTGAAAAGAACAGGAAAGACCTTTGAGATATTTTCTTGAGTTCGGGGGGTAGATTATAAAAGGGAAGGTATTAGCACGCTTTTTATCCATGGTTTTCCATGGGCTCTTATTTACTTGCTAGATCACTTACTTTTGTTTGAAAATGTGCTTTGTGTGGTTTTTGAAAGTATTTAAAAAAAATGCCATCGTTTGGGAAAACTTTGTAATGATTCTCGTTTGTAAGAATGTATACAAAGTGTTGATCTTTTGAAAATGTTTTCAAGTTTGAAAGTTGTTTTTTGAAAGTGTCGGTGTTTGTTTTGAAAATAGAAAGGATATTTTTGGTTTTAAAATTGAGCAAGTAACTAGGATTAATCTACCTACTCAAAAGTATTTCATGTTTATTTCCTCTTTCCTTTGATATTGTTATCTTACCATTGATTTGGTAAGTAACCCTATCTTTGGATGTAAAAGGGACGGGCAAGGGTCATTGTATAGCTATGATTAGCAATGTTGTAAGATATCTTAGCATTCTTTAGGGACTAAGATCATTTTGAAAGGCAACATGGATAGCGTCATCGAGGGACTACGATCTTGTATTTTGCTAAGATACATAATATGGCCATTTTTGTAAGGCAACAAAGTGGATTTACCCTTGGGGTGTATGTGTGCAAGTGTATTGATTTACATGCTTGATTTGTCTCGATTAGGGTTTTCTATTTGTTGGTTTTAATCTTTCCATACAAAACCCTAATTACTAACATTTGTATATAAAACAATAAATTGCGGAAATTAAAATTACTACGCTATTACATCATTTAGGGGAGGGGGTGTACAAATTACAAATGGGGATTTGAAAGAAGTTAAATCTAAATAATTATTACAACCATATTGAATTTGAATAAACGTACAAAATTGAATAAGTAAAAATGCAAGAACGTAAATGTAAAAAGAAATGTGATTTTGTTTGGTTTTTATGAAAAAGGGGTTTTTGACTTAATTAATAAAAATAAAATAATTAACTAAAAATAAGAAAAATCAAGATTAAGTTAGTAAAATAAATTAATTTAAAGAAAACAAGTTTTTTAGGGTTTTTGTGAATTTAATTAAATTAGTAAATAAAAATAATTAAATAAAAGTCCTAAATTCCAAATTGATTTTAATTTACAAGAAAAATATTATAATATAATAATTAAGGCTAATTATCTAATATTAAAAAAAGGTAAATTAATTTTTTAAAGGAATTTTTTTTTGTTCTTTTTGTTTTTATGAAGAAAATAAACTAAATAAAATATAAATAATAAAAATATATATTTTTGGATTTTTTATTAATGAAAAAGAAAATAATAATAATAATAATAATAATAATAATAATAATAATAATAATAATAATAATAATAATAATAATAATAATAAAAAAGATGAAATAAAAATAAAATAAAAATAATAAAGTCAGGGAGGTTAAAATTGAATTTTAGAGATTTGTTAGAAAAAACAGTTTTCTTTAAATTTGGCCCAATTGATGTTTTTGTTTGAAAATAAAAAAAAGGGATATGGGCTGCGTGATATGAGCAAACAGGGGGGTATTAGTGAGTAAAAAAGACCCAGGCCCAAGGGAGAGAGCCCAAATGCGCTGGAAGGAGAAGTGACAAAAAATGTGAAAAAATGAAAAAGACAGCGCGTTGAGGTTCGAACCCATGACCTCTTGATTACCAGCGTGCTGCCTTACCACTGGGGTGGCTATACATCTGTTAATATAACTGAAATGATAAATATATAATACAAAACAAGTCCTGAATACACTTCATCTTCAACTCCAGCCAGACCACCTGTATCTTCACCATTTCTCAACAAAAATGGAAAATGTAAACATGAAAGTTGCTCTATTTTTCCATACGAATCCAACCATATAAATATCATGAACTATAAATCAAAGATGAATGATGTAGCGGTGAAAATCGGAGATCAAGCTATTAATTAACTTGACTCACAAAAGCAAGAGTCGCCACCGCGCTTTATTATTTCCAAGGGAAAAGGGAAAAGAGCGAAATAAAACCCTAAAATATGCAATGTAAAGTAATATTTAAAAGTAATGAAAATACAATGCGTTTTTAAAAAGAGATCGAGAGTTCGGGGGTTGGTTATACAATGGGAAGGTATTAGCACCCAATGCATCTGCGGTACTCCGCAGGAACCTTTTGAAATATCTGTTTATTAAAATTTGTTTGTTTGATTAAAAATAAATTGTTTTGGCCAAAAAGGGGTACGGACGGTTTTTTGAAGATACGACGACCTAATGTCGAAGTTTTGACTTAAAAGGTATGAGTTTTGAAAAAAATTGAATATTTGGGAAAATTATCTTAAGTTTTCAATGAAATGAAGGTATTCGCGCGATTGGATTTGAGGACTTGAAGTCAACAAATTTAATCATTTTTCTCTTGGATTAAATCGAGCGAGCAAAAATAAAATAGACATCAAAATATAAGCAATCAAAATTCACAAGAAAATAAATATAACGAAACAGATTAATGACCTAAAGGCATCGAGAAATTAAAATGACAAAGATATTTAAATAAAATAAAAGAGAATGTAACTAATTATCTAAAGAAGTTATTTAAACTAAATTAAAAATTTAAGATTACTTACTAAAAAAAAATTAGTTCCAAAGTTACTAAACTAAATCTAAATCAAATAAAATTCTAAAAGAATATTAAACTAATTCTAAACAACTAAAATTCTAAACTTATTAAACTAATTCTAAATCAAATAAAAATTATAAACTCATTAAACTAATTCTAAATCTAATAAAGTTCTAAAGTCCCTAAACTAAAACTAACAACTAAAATTCTAAAGTTTACTAAATTAAAACTAAAACAAATAAAATTCTAGAATTTACTAAGTCAAATCTAAATAAAATAAAAATCCTAAAGTTACTAAAATAAAACTAAAACAAAATAAAATTCTAAAGTTTACTAAGTCAAAACTAAAACAAATAAAATCCTAAAATTTACTAAGTCAAATCTAAATAAAATAAAAATCCTAAAGTTGCTAAAATAAAACTAAAACAAAATAAAATTCTAAAGTTTACTAAGTCAAAACTAAAACAAATAAAATTCTAAAATTTACTAAGTCAAATCTAAATAAAATAAAAATCCTAAAGTTACTAAAATAACACTAAAACAAAATAAAATTCTAAAGTTTACCAAACTAAAGCTAAAACAAAAAGTTATAAAATGAATCTAAATTAATACTAAACTAAATTAGTTATAAGATTTACAAAATAAAAATGTCTTGACAAGGTGTTGAACTCAGGTCTCTATGATTTATAGCTAGATGCATCACCAGTTGAGCTACATTGTTATTTGTTTATTAATAAAGGTTTAATTAAAATATAAAGGGGAAGTGGTAATTGGATTGGGCCAAAAAAAACCAGTGGACCGACCCGCTTGGACAAGGGAAAGGAAGAGTCTTGGAAACCCTAAGGAACAAAGAGGGTGCAGCGGCGGTACTGGTTATGGGGAAAACAAAACACATATTAATTATATTTTACTAACAGTAAAATTTATTAATACAAAATAAAATCTTCCTCATGTTCCAAATATCTCACGATCTCCATTCCTCTCGTGATAACCTTTTCTTTCAATCTCTCCGTACCTTTCTTCTCAGTAAACAAGAACAACAAAAACTTATACCGATTTTTAAATCTCTCTCTCTCTTATGCCTAACAACAAAATTAGTTCTCACAAATTCAACCTATCTTTAAACAACAAAATTCTTGAATCAAATAAAAATGGATTAGAATTACCGGAATCAAAAAGCGTCGGTCTTCATTAGCGCAGTGGTTCACGATTTCGTTTCCAATTTGCGGTGGTGGTCTACAAGCGGATCTGCAACATGAGTTAAGTGTCGATGGTGATTGCGATGTCGTATGGAAGGCGTGGCTTGTCAGAGTTCGTCGGATTCGTTTGCAGATCTGGGTGTGGTTGGCATGGAAGAATGGAAGAAAGGTCGCGGTTGGAATGATGTGTATCGATGAACGGCGGGGTTCTGGTCACGCGATGGGTGGGAATCTTATCGAATCTCCTTCTCCTTATTATTTCCTTCTAAGAATTTCAAATTTTCACACTTTGAAATTCTTTTGCACATCTGGTTTCGAAGAGGTGTTGTTATTGCGGTGGCATCTCTGTTTTCTTCTCTTTCTCAACAACCTAAATGGAGCTCGAATGATGTGATGAAGTTGGACGAATAGGAGAAAATGAAGTGTTGATAGTTTCTTGCAAAACAGAGGAGAGCAGGGCGGAGGGAGGCTTGGAGAACTTTGAGAAGAGGTTGATGGATAGAGGAAAGTTGTTATGGATTCTGAATGTGAGCGAAAAGGTGATTGTCTCAGCGAACGAAAAATATGAACGGGTTTGTGAGATGGCTATGGAAGTGAGGTATGGTGTTGAAGGTTATGTTATTTCCGCAGTTTTAATTGTTATTTCTGCAGGTTATGTTCTTCCCCTTTTGATAGTGTTCCTATCTCTTCTTTATAGTCAGTCTCTCATAAAATTGGAGGGAGATTTTTGATAAGCTTGAATAATTTTGGTGATTTGCTTTATTGCTTTTTTTTATACAGGTTTTGGTCTTGCTAAATCTGTGCAATTTTGACAGGTTTTTTTTTGTTTATGGCCTGGTTTTAGTACAGGGCTATGGCTTGGCCTTATTATGCAAGTTTCTTGGATGTATTATGGTGCAGATTTTGCAGTATGACAGTAGCAGGTGTGGGAAGATTTGGCAAGAGTTGAAGCAAATTTTGGATAGTTGTGTTTGGATGTGCAGCATGAAAATGACAAGAGATGAGATAAAATTGTTGTTGTAAACTGTGACCCTCCTCCAACTTTATATTTTCTTTCTTTTTGGATAAAACAAAATTAACAACAAGAAAAATAGTAATAATAATTAACCAAAAAAAAAAGAGGAGATTGTTAGTAACAACTAAACTAAAAGTACAAAAAATTAAAATAAGAGACAAAAAAAATGTGTTTAGTAATAATAATAATTCAATTTAAGAAATTCAATTAATATTAGAACTGAATCAAAATTAAAAAGGAACTAAAATTATAATGACTAAAGAAATAAAATGTAAATAAAAGAAAATGGTATTAACTATATATTTTTTCTTTGAGATTTTTTGGATGTAAAATACAACTAAAATAAAGATGACGCTAATCACATATTTTTTTTGGGATTTTTTCAAATAAAGTGATACAAACATATAAATTTAAATAGAATTAATAAAAGACCATATTTTTTATATTTTGAATAAAGAAATAAAAAAAATTATAAATAAATAAATAAAAATAATAACACATGTTAAGTGCGTCTTTTGCAATTTTTTAATGGAAAAGAAATCATGAATAAAACACAGTCGAACTCAAATTTCACCAAATTCACAAAACAACTTTTAACATCAACAATTTTTCATGGCTTTTTAATGCATAATTTTCCCTTGATTTATAAAGAAAAGTTGTAGATGATGTCAAGGAAAATCATGTGCAAAAACAACCTCTCAAAAATGTCGAAATTTGAAGAAGTTATGAATTTTTAAAATCTGCTTTGAAAATTGATAAAATAGGTCAAATCGCTTGTTAACACTTGCAATGTAATGATGCAGATGGGAGGTGATATCTTAGGTCAAAAATTGGGGTATGACAAATGAGAATTTTTGAAAGCACCAAATCCTGACCTAATTATTTTCAGAGGTTCAAATTCAAAATTCTAACTACTCAGGCAATAATAATGAAATCTAAGGACATGGTTAGCTTCAGGACAATGATATCTGCATTTCTTATTCACAAATAAACCATTAATGATGCTTGTATGAAGAGTTCAAAAGTCATAAAACTCACCTTGCAAGAGGGTATCGTGTTTTGAGTTTGAGCAGCTTTTGATGAGTTCCAGTGATTGGGTTAGATTCCTCAAGTTCCCAGGAGACTAATGTGATGTTTGGCTTGAGCTAAAAGTGGCTGAGGAGTTCTGAAGAAGTCAAGGTGCAAGGTGTTGTTTTTGAAAATGGTGGATAGTGATGGAGGTGTTACAGTCGTGTTGCAGGTGTTGGAATTGTTTGTATATGTTATTTAGAAGCTTTTGAAAGTAAAAGGCCAAGAAACGCACGAGCAAATTTGGAGATTGGATTCAAAACTCAGAAATGGCAAGTTTTGAGATGTTTTTGGTGGTTCTGTGTTTTAGGGGGTTTCAGGGCTTGAGCTTGCATGTGTTTTCTTGCAAATGATCTGTGTATCTATAAGCAAAAGTTTGGAGAGGTTTTGCACAAAGGATTTCTGAGTTATAGGGTTATGGCTAAGTTGCTTGATTTTGAAGAAATGTGAGAAATGTAGTTTCAAGGTAGAAAGTACAATCATGTAGAGTGGTTACCAACTTTAAACATACTTATCTAACTTTGTAGAGGAAGCTTTTGCAAAAGGAATAAGTGCAAAGCTCAATGCAAGTTGACTTCGCATAAAGCTTGCTTTATGTAAATGGCAATGGTGCCTTTGTGCCATTAATGGAAAATTGTCTTGGATAAAGCTTAAATCAAATGGATAATAGCTCAAAATCAAGTGTAATATTATTATTAGGGAGATATCTTGAGGTTTAAAGGCCTGCCAAGCAAGATTATGCAGCATAGGTTTGAGATTTGAATTCTTGTTCATAAAAAATGACCTATAATTTCAATTTGAAAATCCTAACTTCCTCTCTTCGATTATCCTTGCTCAAGAATGATCTCAAGGAGTTCTTGGAAATTTTGGAAATCTTGTAATGTTATCTACAACCCCTCTTTGAATCACTTTTGAAAATTCCCCTTGGAACTATATGAAAAATTGCCATGAAGTTAGGTCAAAATCCTGCCTAAACTAGGGAAAATTTTTCACTAAGTGTTTAGTTTCATGACCATGACTTCATGGATTAATATCTTGAGATCCAAGAATTTCTTGGAGAAGTTGTGAAAAGAAATGTTGTAGATATCATGGAGATCTACAACTTTCATGTTGAAAGTTTCTTTTGAATCATCTTGCATCATGGTGAAAAATTGGCTCAAAGTTGTGAAAAAATATGAAGTTTTCAACACTTAGAAAAATTTCTAAGTTTGAAAACTTTGACTTTTCAAAATGAATCTTGACTTTTTGATTTCTTGATGAAAAAGTTTCATATTTTTTCATGTTTTGATGAATTGTGATCTTTGACACTTGATTTTGACCAAAAAGTCAAAGTTTGACTTTTCAGTGTACAATTCACTTTTAATCAGTTAACTGAAAATCAACTATCAATCCAATTGATCTTGAGCAATGTTTTGAGTCATGCCATTAGGTCAAAATGATTCAATTGAACTCTTGAGATCATACCTCAAACCAATTAACTATTTTCTAGGTCAAAAATCAGAAATTGCCCTTTCTCAGCCAAAATCCTAATTTTGACCATTTTGCCCTTTTGATGATCTGATCAAATTTATTGAGGAATTGTGGTCCAAACTTGATTAAATGACACATATGAGTTTATAATGTTGATATGGATAAAAAATTATGAAGTTTAACTGTAAATTGGCCACAGTTGACTTTTTCCCCAATACAACTGATTTTTAGGTCAACCGCTCAATTGACTGAACAAAAATGTGATCCAAGACTTGAAACTTGACATGAGCAATATTGGGGGTCCATAATGGTCCATGAAAGTCATATGAGGCATTAAAATTTCAATTATCCTTGTGCAATCTGAAACCCTAATTTTAGTCATCAATGCTTAAGGAGGTGTCTTGAGCTGATCAACCCTTGTGCAATCTTGAACCAAAGGAGATCTTGTGAGAAAATATTTGATAAATGACAGAGAAAATTTTGGGGTACAACAGCTTCCCCTGTTCAATCTTCTTAGACCTGAAGATTTAGATTGGCGGATCCGCTATTCGTGACTTGAAGGTGGAAGATGATTGGACACTAGAGTGCCCAAAATTTGCACTCGAAGATGAAATGGGAATGGGCTTATAGATGCCATTTGGAGGATTGATGGATATTTTCCAGATATGGGCTTGTAAATGCCATCCAAGGGTGACTGTTGACAAAAAATGGACTAAGTCTGAACTTGATTTCAATTGGAAAAGAATCAGAATAAATCTTTGGAGTGATTTATCTGAACCAGGAGAAGTCTTGTATGTTGTTTGACCGGGAAGAATCAGAATAAATTGTTGAGGGATTCATACTGAACCAGAAGTGTTCCTTTAAAAAGTATCAGGATAAACCGTTGAGAGGTTTAAACTGAACCCGAAATGTTCCTTTGGAAAGTATCAAGATAAACCGTCGAGGGGTTTAAACTGAACCAAAAGAGATCTTGAATATTCTTTAACTAGAAATAATCAGAGTAAATCTTTGTGCGATTTATCTGAACGAGAGAAAGTGTCGGCGAGAAAGAATCAGAATAAATTGTTGAGATATTTATCTGAACCCGAAGTCTTCCTTTGGAAAGCATCAGGATAAACTGTTGAGGGGTTTAACCTGAACCAAAAGAGATCTTGAATATTCTTTAACTGGAAAGAATCAGAGTAAATCTTTGTGCGATTTATCTGAACCAGAGAAAGTGTATGCGGGAAAGAATCAGAATGAATCATTGAGAGATTTATCTGAACCCAAAGTGTTCCTTTGGAAAGTATCAGGATAAACCGTTGAGGGGTTTAAACTGAACCAAAAGAGGTCTTGAATATTCTTTAACTGGAAGGAATCAGAGTAAATCTTTGTGCAATTTATCTGAACCAAAGAAAGTTTCTGCGGGAAAGAATAAGAATAAACTGTTGATAGATTTAAACTGAACCGGAAGGATTCTGGAGAAGAATCAGAACAACTCATTGAGAGATTTATCTGAACCAGAGAAGACGTCTACGGGAAAGAATCAGAATAAACCGTTGATAGATTTAAACTGAACCAGAAGGGGTCTGAAAGAAATATCTGTTATGTAGATGGTTGACCAGCTCTTTTTTTTGGGAATTGATCTGTAATTGACTTGTTAAAATTTTGACGATGATTTTCTGTTGATTGATCTTTCCTGAAAAAGATGAAAAGTTAGTTGCATGCAATGTCATGATGTATGAAATGCATGATATTATCAAAATAAATGAGATTGTGTCATATGTATTTGTGTTATCAATGTTATGACATATGGATGTAATGTATAGACACATTAATTGTTATGCTGTAGTGTTGCTGGAGTCGGGGAAAATAAATCCCGAGTACTGCTGGGTATGAAGAGTGTAAGTCTTCATGTTTTGAAGTTGAAGTGTTGATGATTCTCTAATTGTTAGACCTCATGAAATCCTGTTGGGGAATCCTGAGAAACTAGGCAACTTTCACTGAGGAATCTTAGGAGCTGTAACTGGAAGTTTTATTCTGTCAGGGATGTGAGAGAGCTTGATATCATTAAGATGCATATTGTGGGGGATTTTATGGAATAGTCTAAAGATATTATCCTATTTCTTAAAGCCATTAGTGTTTGTCTTTCTATTTTTCCCCCTCTTTTTTTCGTTCATTTGTAAACAATAGTCATGT